GAAGTTATATCATCGTGAATTGGCATAGTTCCTTTTTTCCCCAGAAGAGAACTCATAAACCTCTATATACACACTGGAGAAAGCAGGTAGTTGGATTCAGCTCTGATCCTAGGGATTCCAGCTTTAAAAAGGATAGCACATTATCTCACATGGTACCACTGATGCTTATCTTCTCCTAGCAACAAGGGGAAAGCTTTGCAAGAGGAAAGAGAGGCCATTTTCATCTTTGTCAACTTCTAGTTGAATCAGGCCTAGTCTGTATCATCAGTACTATTTCTCCTTAAACAATCACTCTATCATATATGTAGGGGATACCCTGTCTAGAGGGATATTTTTTATTTATTTATTTATTATTATTATTATTATTATTATTATTTTTACCTTTTAGGAGCCCTCCTATCCATGGTTTCCTTAGTCCTTCAGGGAATGCTTGGGTAGTAATTACAATGATTCTGCACTATAGAAAGGTATATACCTAAGCACAAGGTGAGATAGGAAAAGCAAAGAATTCAGTAGTACCATAAACCCAGAGACTCCTGTTGGAATAACTTGGTAAAGAACTCATTGGTTACATGCATTAGGATGGCCACTGTCCTAAAAATAGAACATAACAAGTGTTGGTGAGGATGTGGAGAAACTGGAACCCTTGTGCACTGTTGGTGGGAATGTAAAATGGTGAAGCTGCTATGGAAAATAGTATGATGGTTCCTTAAAAATTAAACATTTAACCAAGCAATTCCATTTCTGGGTATATGGCCAAAAGGCTTTGAAGAGATATTTGTACACCCATGTTCATAGCAGCATTATTCATAATAGTCAAAATGTGGAAGTAACCCAAGTATCCATCAACAGATGAATAAACAAAATGTGGTATATACATACAATGGATTATTATTCAGCCTTAAACAGGAAGAAAATTCTGATTCATATTCCAATGTGAACCTTGAGGAACCTTAAGGACATTATGCTAAGTGAAATAAGACCAATACTGTATGGTTCAACTTATATGAGGTACCAAAGTAGTCAGACTCATAGTAACAGAAAGTAGAATGCTGGTTTCTAGGAGCAGGGGGAAGTAAGGAATTGGAAGTTATTATGTAATGGACATAGACTTTCAGTTTTGCAAGTCAAAAGAGTTCTGTTGGGTGGATGGTAGTGCTGGTTGGACAACATTGTGAATGACAGAGTGGAGGCAAAAGTAAGTTTATACTTGTGAGTACACAAAACATAGTTTATTCTTGTATTATTATTTATTAATTCTTGCATTTTTCCATTAGAACAACTGTAAAACTAATTTTTTCCATCCTTTATTTAATGCCAATGAACTGTACACTTAAATGTTATGTATATTTTACCACCATTAAAAAATTAATTTGTGGGTTGTTCAGCTCTGTGGTTTATGGCAAGTGCTTGGTGGTCAGATAAACCTGACACTACTATCACTTACCAGCTATAAAAGCTGGACAAGTGATTTAACCTCCCTTAAGTCATTTAAAACACAAAAATACCCCAAAACAATAAGTAACCTCAATTTCCTCATCTGTAAAATGAGGATGGTTATGGTAATAATAATAATAACTAATTTATGAAAACTTTGCAAAGGTTAAATGAGATAGGAATGTTTGTCAAATATAAATAAAGTTGGGAGTATAAGATCTGGTACATAAATTATAAATAATAACGACTCAATAAAACTATGTTTTACTGTTTTGTTGGCTCTGATTATTATCATTATTATCATCAATATTATCAGCTTAATTCAAAGTTAACATTACCCTATGTCAACCTGTAAAAGTATGTGCTGCCAAAATGAATGCCTTTAAACATCTGCTAGTTTAATCCGAGAGCAGAAATCTAAGGTTCTGGGCTTGCATTGAGCTATCCTAATTCCTGAGACCTCTGATTCTCATTTGCCCAAAGGATAATTTTAGATGAGAGGACAATATGAAATTTGTGTATGAATGCTTTACATGTTAAAATTTGTTTCCATTACTGCAAAGAAATACCTTTTAATTTACTTTTCTGCCCAAGCATTATGTTTTTCAATGGGTGTTTCATAGTTTCAGCCCTAACAGCCAGAATAGGTATGAAAAAGCAAAGTTAGATGTGTTGCTTCTTGAAAATGAGATGGTTAAGATTTCAAAGTAATGGACAGAAACAGAAAGAGTTTAATGCTATGCATGCCATCACAACACTAATTTCTCTACTTTTAATGTCACATTTGACTTGGAGCAATGCAATTATATAAATATGGAATTACATGATAGACATGTGTTCTCTGGGATATTTCATCATGTAACAACTTTTTATCTTACATTATTTGTGGAAATTACTTGGAAAAAAAAAACCCACAAAGATTGAATTCTATTAAAAGAAAATCACCTGAAATCAAATATACTCTTATTAAAAGTCACATTAGATTAATACCGCAGCAACAGTTTTAGGGAAAAACAACATAATCAATAACTCTAAAACATAAAATGCATTAAAAAAGGAAGTATTAATTCTAATTCCTATTTTAAAAGAAGGCCAGTGTCTTACCATTAAGCTGGGTTATGGAGATTTGTGGAGCTTTACTCCTGAGTGCCAGTCACAGATTGTACTGTAAACCTTCTCAAAACAAAATCCTAGACTCAACGCACAAGGAATTTTAGATGAAACACCAAATTCATTCTAGAGGAGAATCCTGTCATTTCCGTAGAGAGAGAGAATATGTTACAATGGAACGAGGGACCTTTATAGAAATGATCAAAGACAAATGAGGTATTCAAGGAAGCCTCCAGTACCTGCCATGAACAAGAGAAATAAAATACTAGTGTGGAAGGGGATCTGTGAGATCATAAGAACGACTGAGCTGTGAATAATTGAGCAATGTCCCTGCATACCTAAAAGAGAAGAGGCATATCAGCAAAAGGAATCAAAGTTCCAGTTGTCCCATGTGTTTTCCAAGCAGACTCAACAAAGGAAAGGGAGCGAAGCTGTGGGAGAGAAGGTAAAGAAGTTACAAAAGAGCTTCTTGCCATCCTGAGCCACCACAGTACAAGACAGTGACGGAAGTGAACATGACAAAGCAGAGGGTGGTGACAAGAGTTTCTCCTGGAAGTTTACATTTGACAAGTTTACAGAAAATCACAGGAGGCTGAAACAAAGGCTGGTGATGCGGAACTGGTTACTCTTGACATCAGAAATAAGAGTTGATGAGCCCAGGCGGGGGTGAATATGTGGGAAGAGATCAACCAAAGAACTTGTATGTATATATGCATGACCCATGGACACAGACAATAGGGAGGGTGAAGGTCTGGGGTGGGGGTGGGGGAAAGTGAGGGAGAAAGCAAGAGGGGTCAGTGGGGGGAAAAGGAGGACATATGCAATACTTTTAACAATAAATATATATATAATATGTTCCTCTCAAAAACAAAACAAAACAAAAAAACCCCAAACGCTCCTAAAACCAAAACCAAACCACAAACACTTAAATTACATTTCATTTATAAGTTGGGAGTTTTACAAATGACGCTTTGAAGATTTTAAAAGCTCTTCCAATGCTGTGTCTTTAAATGTATGTACATTCATTTTTATTTTTTTTGGCTAAAAACAAAACACAAAAATACCCCAAAACAATAAATGACTATATGTAGGCACAATCATCAGAAGAAAGAGATAACAAGAGCATTCGGAGGCAGACACCTGCCTCAAACAATGGCAACAATCTCAGAGGATTTTAAACAGCTGTGCATAAACTTCAAAAGTAATTGCAATCAAATTAGCAAATGTCACCTTCCTTCCCACTAGACACAGCATTTTTTAAGAGAGATCAGGCATCTGCGGGTAAGCCTGCCATTTTATGAGTGGCCTACGATAAGTTAAGGGGGGAAATGAAGATGGTGATTCAGAAGGTTGGGGTGTGTGCTGGGAGTGGGGCACCCCAGGGCCTTACAAATAGGGCTTGTCTATGCAGCATCCCAGCCAAGAAAGGGCCTTGGTGGTCACAGCTCTAGAAAACAACGAGAGAGGGACAGCAGCCAGTGGGGCTGCCAGGCTTGTGTTCAGAAAAGGGTGCTGGCCCTCAGGACCTGCACACGCCCCAGGGATGGTGGCTCTCACCCCGGACACCCGGAGAAGCAGTGGGTGCTCCTTCTTCCCTCCAGGTCACCACCCCTCCTGTCACCCATTCATGAATCATCTTTCATTAGCAACTCGGAGCAGGACAGCCCTCAAGGACAAGACAGCTCGGTGACACTCGCTTTGCAGACACCACCCAGCGGAGCCAGCCTTGGGCTCTTTCTCTCCTCATGCCATTGCAGTGCCCAAGCCTTTTGCGTGAACAGCCCATTTCACAAGGATAACGGGGGCTCTTACACATCCAGCGACATACAGACATTCAATTCTCTATACTTGTGACCCTCCAAGCTAAACAAACAAACAAACAAACAAACAAACAAACACAAAGATCCCTCCAGGCCACCGAATGAAGCACCAGACATGTTTGTTGTTTTTTTTTCTCTCTTTAGTTTCTTTTTGCATCTAGCAGAGACCTGCCTCACCCTAACCCCATGCCGGTGGAAAGAAACTTGGTTTGTTTAGAGGAGCCCTTCCTGCTGCGCTAGCGATGGATTTCAGAAACACAAGTTGCTCTCTGTGACAGGTGGCCATCTGCATCAAAACGTATCTCCTTACAAATGTTTGCCAAGAACATAAAACTTTCCACCTTCTTCCCTTCCTCCCTCCTCCCTTCACTAGTTCAGGTGAGAGTTTAAAAAAAAAAAAAAAGGCGAGAAGGAAGGAGGAGGTGCAGCCAGCCCGGGGGCCTCCTTGCGACCAGCGACCCAAAGTTTGCTGCACTCCCGTCTCTCCTATGTCCTCCTGCACCCCCCTTCCTGGACCCTGTCACCGCGGGAGCTGGGTGAGCAGCTTCCGCTGGACCAGGGTCCTGGGCCCGCGCAGACACACCCCTTGTCCCCCCTCCCCGGCCGGCGACCAGCGGCCCCGCAGGGACCTACCTGCTGGGTGGGCAGCCTGTCCGAGCGCAGCGGTCCCCGGCGGCGCGGGCTCTGGCGGGGCCGGCACGGAGGGTGCGCCCGCAGGCAGTGCCGGCCAGGGGGCGCTCGTCACCCCGCGCTCGGGCTGCAGAAGCGGGTCCTGGACGCCCGTCTGCCCAGGAACCAGCCCAGAGCACAGCTGCCTGCGCCTCCCCTCCTTCTGCTGGGCCCGCCCCTCCCTCCTGCCACGCGCCTTACACATTCTCCTCTCCCTGCTGTGTGAACAGAAGAAAGGGGTGGGACACGCTTGGGGTGCGATGCTCAGGGAGGAAGGGGCTCTGAGCACTGGCTGATGCGAGGAAAGGATGGGGGGGGGGGGTACTGAAACCTCAAGATTCTATAGCTAGACAAACTGAAAAGCGAAAACGATCCTGCAGTGGGAAGGATCAAGGTCACCCTGTAAAAAAGAACTTCACCTGTTTTATCTGTTTTTACACTACGGAGGACTTGTGAGCATTTTTTTGTTTTTGTTTGTTTTATGATATGGGAAAGTTTGGGTACAATTCTGTGCCTTGGATAGTCTTTCCTACCTTGTGTCTGACCTGGGATTTTGATTTTCTATCCTCACGCTGTTGTTTTATTTATAATGTCCGAAGGTGCCCTCTCTAAACTGAGACCTTGAGGTTGGAATGGAATGTCGCGACAGTGCATTTGTCAGTTTAAGACTTTTGTGCTTCGTGGACATGAATGATGATCATAATGAAGATAATTAGGGTGTTCCCCCCTATACTTAATAGAATTCTTTTTTTTTTCCCCATTCAGGTTAGAAATGACATGTCTGGTTACCAATACTACATGACTATTACTAAATGATTAAAATGTGCTTGGTTAAGGCTTTTGTTGCTTTAACAAACTAGGACCAGTGAGCAATAAAACAAAAATACTTTTAAAAATGAGAGAGAGAGAGAGAGAGAGAGAGAGAGAGAGAGAGAGAGAGAGAGAGAGAGAGAGAGAGATTAAAAAGGTAGGGAAAAAAAGGTCCAAGCCTTGGATCAGCAGACTTCTGATCATAGAAGGATAGAGTGTCAGCTGAAAAGGACCTCAGATTCTTGCTATAGTTAGTTAGATAGTTCCAAAATTTTATTTATTATAGATAGTTCCAAATTTTTATTTATTATTTAAAAAAACATTTAAAATATTCTCATCTGAGGATATTTTATGTTGATTCTACAGAGGGAGAGAGAGACAGAGAGATATGTATTGATGGGTTGCCTGCCTCTCAAATATGCAAAAATGGAAACCTGAAACCTTGGTTTGTGCCCTGACCAGGAATCCAGCAGGTGACATATGGGAGAATGCTCTAACCAACTGAGCCACACCAACCAGCACTCCAACTTTTTCTCTTTCTTTCTTTCTTTCTTTCTTTCTTTCTTTCTTTCTTTCTTTCTTTCTTTCTTTCTTTCTTTCTTCTTCTTTCTTTCTTTTCTTCCCTCCCTCCCTCCCTCCCTTCCTTCCTTCCTTCCTTCCTTCCTTCCTTCCTTCCTTCCTTCCTTCCTTCCTTCCTTCCTTCTTTTCTTTTCTTTCTTTTCTTTCTTTTCTTTTCTTTTCTTTTCTTTTCTTTTCTTTTCTTTTCTTTTCTTTTCTTTTCTTTTCTTTTCAATTTAAATTCTTTATTGTTGAAAGTATTACATAAGTCCTCTTTCCCCCACCCCTCCATTGACCTCTTTCTGGCCTCTTCCACCCCAAGCACATGCCCTCAACCTCCTACTATCTGTGTCCATGGGTTATGCTTATATGCATGCATATAAGTCCTTTGGTTGACATCTTACCCCCCCCCCAAAACAAACAAACAAAAAACAACAACAAAAACCAAGGCCCAGCTAAGTTTGGTGACTTGATTAATTCACATTGCTGCTTGTGCTGGGAAACCAGATATAGTGATTCTTTCTTTTAATCTATATGAACTCATCAAAGCAAACACATACCTTATAACAGTAAAATATAGTCCATTAAAATGAGCCCCTTCCCCCTATTGCTAATATCTACAATAAAAGCATTGAACTGGCCCTCAGGCCAGGCTCATCCAACAGAGATGCTGCCACATCTTGGAAGAGTCTAGCCAGGAGTATTGAGGGTGGATGGAGCTTCAGAAGGGCTGGCTCACCTTGTCATCACCACTCACACCATAGTAGCCATTCATTGCATATTTGCTATTAAAATTTGGAGGAAAAATGTGTTTATGGCTGTGAACAAGCCGTCAGAGCTCCTACCCATCCTCCTACCCATCAGCTCCTCTCTGCAGACTGCCAAAGAGAAACCTCCTGGTTCAAAATGCTTTTCTCCTGGCTCATCTCCAGCCATCCTCACACAGGCTATCACATCGAGGAGAGATGGCAGACTGCCAACGGCTTCAGTGCTTAGGAGATAGCAAACCCATTCATTCTCCCTTGCTGGGTTTTCATTGACTTTTGAGGAGGAGGCTAAGTAGGTATTGGGGCTCAAGGGATATTCACATGCCATTTTAATTTCATCAATACTAGTCAGTGGCTTTAAAAAGAAATTCCAAATAATGATGATTATGTGCTGAGTACCTTATATACCAGTCATTGTCTGAGTACTTTGGATGCACTGTTCACTTAATCCTCATAACAATCTTAGGAGTTAGATGTTATATCATTATCCTCATCTCCTCTGTTTTGGAGATGAGAATAACCAGGCTTAGAAGGATCATGCAGCTTACTCAAAATGCCACAACTGATAAAGTACCTGAACTGACATTCATCTCAAGCCAGTGTGAAATAGCCCCAAGCACTGTTGAATACTGCTTCCATTCCACAGACATGCCCTCCCTGTTCTGCTTCTCCCTCTTGGGGTAGCTGGTCTCAGAGACCATTGCTATTCTACTATTTTATAACCATGTAGTCCTGAAATTGCAAACTCATTATTGGAAGACGAGGTTTTTTATAAAACAATAATCATCATATGTCTAAAACCTTTTTTTTTTTTTTAAATCTCATCTGAAAAGAAAAAATTCCAAATCTATTCTTGATACATGCTAGGTATGAGGGATACCTCTGGGCCTTTTTGACTCCAGCATCCTGTCTAGCCAGCCTTCTCCTTTCCCACATTACAAAGCATTTTACATCAGACATTATCTCTATTTTATAAACACGGCTGCTGCTCAGAAGTTCTCCACACCTTTGTTTCCTGGAAGAGGAAATGGCATTTCCTGGAGCAGACTGCCTGTGGGTGGTGAGGTTCCACTATTACGTTAAACACACCACACTTTCAGTCGGGTGCTTCTTTGCCTCCTTCTGTTTCTGCCCAAATTTCCTGGAATCGGGCTGAGCACAGACCATCGGGCAGTTGTGCCAGCTCACTGCTGTCGGGAAGACATGGTTCCTGCTTTGGATCCAGAGCTAAGGAATAAGGGACTCCCAGGAATCAGGTCTCTGGAGATACCAAAATCCATCTTTCTTCAACTTGGGATTTGCAAAAGGAAGCCTCAGACATCACATGGCCTTTATTTTAGACCTAATGGATGATTGTGCCCTGGCTCCCAGAGAGATCATGTGGCTCTTGCATCCTTCTGTGGATTGACTTTTTATGAAGGATTTAGGATGGAAATTAAAAAGCAAATGTTCTTATTATGAGCCTCAATTTGAAGAAAGATGATACTTGGGGAGAAGTAAGATATGACAGATCACTTAAGCATTGGATTACAGTATTTAATAAGGACATTTCTCTCTGCAGAAAGTCACCACTCGGAGGAAATCAGATTGGACTGTTTCATGAGGAGTTTGGGTCTCTGACTGTCCACTTTTCCAAAGACTAAGCAGAAATCGTTTTTAAAATGAGCCACCTGAAGCCTTAGAAGAATCGGCATGGCAAAAGAAGACAGCCATCTACCTTAACCAAAGACTCGAGAGACATGGGGAGTCTGGTGTAAAATGGTTCAGAAATTGTCAAAATTAAGCTAGAAACTATGGGTCAAAGTGACAGAGGTTCAGACAAAACACAGGTATTTTAAATTCAGAGCTTGGATAAGGGAAAGGGAGTTTTTGTTTTTTCCCTTCTTCAGTCCAGTTTAGGCTTTCAAGTCGGGGGCGGGGGGAGGGGAAGGATAATTAAAAAATTAGAAATTGTTAATGCCAGGAGATAGCTCTAAACCTGAAGCAAAAATTGGCCCTCCCTTAGGGAGTAAATAAACCTAGATTATTATTGATAGTGTCAACTCTTCCAAGCCTTGAGAGGGGATGGTAAAAGGTGAATATAAACCTCACTCTGAGGTGAAAAAGAAAAATGTTCATAATACGGTGTTTTTTAAAGTTCTGTTGTTTTATACATGCTTAGTAATATTAAGCTAATTTAAAAATCTTAGGCAAGGTAAGGGACGTAGATACTATATTTTCATTTAATAAAGCGATAATGAGTGAGCCTGATACTGGCTAATATTTATTGTGCCTTTAGGATGTGCATCAGGGCATGGCGTTAAACACTTAACTTTGATTATCTCATTTGATCCTTAAACAAATCCCTTGAGATGGGTAACATTCTCTTCATTTTATAGATGCAATAGCTGAGTCTAGAGGTCAAACAAATAACTTCACCAGGCTCATAGAGTTAGTAAGTGGTGGACTTCCAGTCTGTTGACTCCTAGGTCTGTGACTTTTGTCATCAAACACACAGACAAATGATAAGAGCTGAAATTATAGCCTGACTCTTGAAACAGTAAAATAATTTTGTGTTTGTCAATGTTCTGATTAATAAGTTATTCTAAGAAGAGTTAACAGATGTATAGAAAGCCAATTTGTGAAGTATTATGTATCAAAATGTCCATTTTCTAATATAACCATAGAATATAAAACAAAATTTAATCTTTAATGATGCTGAACATTTAGAACTTATTTTTTCCTGAGTACCAATTATTATTACATTATTAAAGAATGAAATTGAGCATGAAAGTCTTTTATTTTTTTTAAAGGAATTATAAAAACACAGTATTGTTACTTTGTGGTTTCTGCCATCCTAAAGATGTTGATTATTTTTCAAGTCATGGCTAGCAATTAAAGAGATATTAATTAAAACATACGCATCTGAATCAGATAGTGAATAACATTTTCAGTGTTGTTTTAACAAAGAGACAAGTTAACATAAACATGTGGTATGTTTATAAGTTTTAAGGGTAGATAAAATCAGAACAAAAGAGGACGGTC